CAAAGGCACTGAGAAATGTTTTCGCCCAACAGTTTCGCACCCCTAGGCAAGACGGACATGAACCCAGAGCACTCCCAGACATGTGCAAAGACGTGCAACCAAATCCATGTTAGGAGGTGTGACTGGCGTTAAGCTGGTTACCCAGCCAGGTCAGGTGGAACTCAGCAAAACCACAGCTCTACCACAACTTGGACTCTGGCGGCAGTTTTTTAACTAAGTAAGTCACACTTTTGGCCAATACCATTCTTGACCATTTTGCGCAAAGGGAGAGTTTTTTCCCCCTTCCCAGCTATGTAGTGGGACAACAGATTAAACCACAAGCAATAACTCTTGCCAGCGGGGGCCTGTGCCACGGCACAGCCCCAGAAGGGAGGAAAGAGCACACTTGCTGCTTCTTGCTCCAGGTACTGTGTAGCCTGAGACACTGACTCCAGGGGAGGCCAGTAGCAGCGGCATATAAAGCGTCACTTGTGGCAGAACTGAGCCCCAGAATTAGTCACGAGGCCCGGAAAGACATCCAGGAAGCTCCCAGAATGAAAGCTTGCCCTTCAGTTGGCTTTCTACACCGTTAGACTCAACACCTGGATTGGGCCCAGCCTTGCGGCACGGCTGCAGCAAGTCAGCTCACTTTGTAGCTTCCCCCACTTTGTTCCATGGCCCAAGTCAACTTTTTCTGAACCACCCTGTCTCCCAGGCTCAAACACAACACCCAGTTTCTGCGCGAAGAGGTCAACGCTCATTGCTATGCTGTGTGGACACTGGGCAGTCGGAGGAGATCCAGATTTGAATACAGGCTCTGTTCGTTACTGGATGGTAGAAAGATGAATTAGCTTAATTTTCTAAGCTTCTGCCTCTTCATCTACAAACTAGGAATAATGACACCTGTCTCCCATGGCTGCTGAGGACATTCATTCATGTTCTCAGCAAGTGTTCACTGAATGAATGTCTTAACACCACACATCCGTGTACGCAGACCAAAGAACTTCAGTTACAGACGTATTGAGAACAGTTGCCATCTTCCACATATATGTGAACCATTCCCATGCACAACAAGACAAGAAATGCAGTCACATGACCTGGAAAGAAAGAGAGTGGGCAGTAGTGCCAAAAGTGGAATGGGCCCGATTCCTAGCAAGGCACAATGCTGTCCCACAGTTGTTTACAATCTTAGCAATTGATGCTGACTCTATGCTGTTGGACTCTCTCTGGTGGCTTTGCTACTGGCTCTCTTGGTCACCTTAGAGAGCTACAGCCCAAAGGAGATGATGATTGTAATTTGTGATCATTTGATAGCTAAGAACCCCTGTGTTCCACGTGCTACTACCTCTGACGCTGGAAAATACAGGACTCAATTCCAACACTGCGATTCCCTGTGGGGCTGTGCCCACCGTAGCCCAAGGAAGATACTGGCAAAGCAAACAGCTCACAGATTCAGGAGTCATTGGCAAAAGATGGAGGGAGACTCAGAGCAATGACCCTCGATTTGAAGCAAACTTCACCCGGTGCTGGGGGTTGGAGGACAGCAGGCTCTGTAATAATTGAAGGGTCTTACACTCTGGTTCTGCAGGCAAATGTATACAAGGATATATGGTCAGGTGCTTCCTTGGAAGTACCACACACTCTGGCTGCTCTTGCAAAGAACAGGAAGCTTGGCACATGGCATTAACTCCTAGTTCAGCAGAGATTCTCTCCCATTGTGGGGAAAGAATACAAGACGCCAATAATCAGTCAATATAAAACAATGTAAGAACGATTATCTATTTTTCAACCTCCATCTCATTCCCTTTTTTTATTCCTTTTGGTTTTCTAAGACAGGATTTCTCTGTGTAACAGTCCTGGCTATCGCAGAACTCACTTTGTAAACCACAATGGCCTAGAACTCACAGAGATCTGCCCGCTTCTGCCTCCCAAGGGCTGGGATTAAAGGTGTGTGCTACCACTGCCCAGATCCATCTCTGTATCTATAGAGATACAGATACCTCATGTAGCCCGAGCTAGCAGCCAACTTCCTATGTGACTAAGGAGAACCATGAAGAATCAGAAGACTCACCCTGTCTCCATCACCTAATTAGAAGTATATGCTATCACACCCATCTTATAAAATGTAGGGGATAAAACCCAGGTCTGCATTCTGGAGCTATGCTCTACCAACTTCCCTAGGTCCTCACCCAAGAAACTCTCAAAGTCTCTTCATAATATATATATATATGTATATATATATACACATATATATATTCATCTTGGAATAAATCTTCAAAAAGAAAAATAAGTCATCAAATAAAATCTTCTGTTATTTTTGTTTCATTCACATTAATATCATACATACTACAGCTTTTAGGTAGGCTTGCATTTTGGCATTTGGTGACTACTGGGGTAGGTTTCATTTGTGGTCAAGGCTTCTTCTTCTTCTTCTTCTTCTTCTTCTTCTTCTTCTTCTTTTATTTTTTGGTGTTTCAGTCTTAATAGAAAGTCAGAGTTTGTAGTAATCTAGTCTCTGAACACTTGACATAGGACCCCTCCCTTCATAATGAGTTAGTAAATGCTTTTAGATCCCTGTGATAAAACTCGCAGAGGCGCAATCCCTGGACGTACAAACCACTTCAGTGGTTGCACTGTCTCAAAGACAGCTCTGCAAGGCACTCCAAGAGAAGAGCGTGGCTTACAGGGTGTTTAAGGGCTCAGCAGTTCTCAAACTTTCAGCTGTGGGGTGGAAGTTAGCTACAGACTTCATTAATTTCAGGAAAGCAGCTTCCCCTAGAGGCAGTCCTGAGGGAAGTCACTTTACTCTCTCATGGTCCTCATCATCTCCCGGCTGTTGGGTTGGCGCTCTGAAGTGCTGCCGCAATAACTGTGCAGATGCCACTGTTGGGATGCTGTAGCAGGGGGAGCTGCACAGAGCGTGGGCACGCTGCATGCGTGACTCAGTGACATCTGCAGCTTTGCCTCACTAAAGGGCAGGAAACTGAAAGCCAGCTCACCCAGAGAGATAGCTGTGAGGGAGATAAGCAGCAGAGCCAGAGAGCTTCTGAATGCACTCCCTAGGGAACATCTGAGAGTTCAATGGAATAGTCTAGTTCATGTCTTCTAAGTTTTGTAGCAACAAGACAGTTTGAGGCACACTGAGGATCCGGGAGTCCAGGGAATTGCAGAACCTGTGGAAAATGTGGCTGTAACAGACATGGCCACAATGACTTAAATCCCAGTACCAAAGCAGGCAGGGAAATGATGCTAATCTGTACATTTAGTGTATACAGTCACTTTAAAATAAAGTATGTATGGGGATGCATGCAGATGTCTCCCAGTTGGTAGAGTGCTCACTTAGCCATGGGTTCAATCTCAGGCATCAACTTGCATTACTTAATTAATTAATCAATTGGTTAAAGGTATTAATGTGAGGGATGAAGGTATACAATAAGGCGCTAAGAACTTAGCACAAGTTTTCATAGGTTTGAAATGTTTCTGTCCAATTTTCTCATTTAGAATTGGGGAACATTATTTTACTGCTGAAGTTTAAATTTTGTTTAGTCCTTATTCTACTAAAATTTTGTTAATCTGTTTAAAGTTTGCATTTTGAATAAGTCAAATTCAACCACTAAGGAAATTAAAGCAATGCCCAGAGTAATCATCTCTTGCTATTTCTGATTTTTATTACGTGAAAAATGATTGGTCATCATCATTTAGTGCAAACTACAGAGCATAAGTCAATGCAGACTTAAGAGGGAGGCCGTGTATGAGCTTCTTCATGATCAGACATGAATGGTACTGAAACAAACACACATAAGAATAAAATCTGACTGGTCATTTGCAGGGTGAATTTACCTACCTTGTGTCACCGTGTCTCTTTTACATAAATCTGAGATTAATCAAGCAGAGGCAGAACCTGGCTTTATCCTCGTCGAGACAGGATTTATATTTATAGAGAAAATCACTTCATCTCATTGATTACCCTGAATTCATTGACCTATCTAATACTCCATGTACTTGGGACACCACTGTGAATGACACACAATTCCAACATCAAAGAAAGCATGCCCCTGTAATCGTGTCTTTTTTAGGAGATTCAGATGATTCAATCTATACAGAAAACCTTGTGTGTGTGTGTGTGTGTGTGTGTGTGTTTGTTTGTATGTGTGTGTGTGTGTGTGCAAGATTAGGTTGCATAGGGAAGAGAGTCATGTAAGCTACAATAGAAAAACACAAACCAGGTGACCAGAGGAAATGGTCTGGGTGACAGGAACGGCAGGAGGTCAGGGCCAGGGGTCAAATCAGGAAGAGGAAGAAACAGGGAAAGTTGTGACCTGTTACTACAACATGGAACCTTGCCAGCTCACTTGAATAAGGTCCTCAGGTGCCGAGTCTGGAGAGAGGCATTGAGGAAGTTGGTAGTATCAAGTAGAAGTCAATCTTAAAATGGGACAGATGTGTTTCTGGCTTCCAAATACTGTCCACGTTACTGCACTTCTCTCTCTCGGTTAAAGGAAGTCATCTTTGCCTTGGTTGTCCATGGCAACAGCTATATGGCATTGACTTTTGACTTGGATCCTATCAAGTTGTAACGTATGATTTCAGAGGAGTTGCCCAAGAATGTCATCCATTGTGCCAGAAGCTCCTATAAACTAGTCATCTTCTGCAGAAGCAATCAGCCCAGCCTTTGGTCCAATGTCCAAATCTACTTCCTTTTTCTTCTTGCTGGGCTTTGACAGATGAGAAGCTTTTGCTCTGCTGGGTTAATTTGTCCACTAGGAAGAGTGCACATGAAGACCACGGTCTGGCTTGTCATGTAGCAGGCTAATCCATCAGATGGCTATCAAGCCAGTCTTCTCCCTCAAACCCACCAGAGTAAGAAAAGTATTGCATAAGAGAGCTAACACCACGTTGCTGAGGTCCATGTAGATGAGGTTACACTGTAGCCTACAGGTTTTCATGACAACTCTGCCTGAAACTGAACTGGAAGCTGATGTTCAAGATCCATACTTACTAGAGTACGCTCTGTCTTCCAGGCTCTTCAACGGCCAGCAAGGAATCATCATTCAGAATTTCAGCACAAGATCCATCCTCACAGTGACCAACGTGACACAGGAGCACTTCGGCAACTATACTTGCGTGGCTGCCAACAAATTGGGCACAACCAACGCGAGCCTGCCACTCAACCGTAAGTAGCAAAGCCTACTGCAGAGGCTCCAGGCTTCTCTGCATGAGCAGAGATGAAGCCCAAGCATGGAGCGTGCTCACGTTAGGACTTACCCTAATGTAACCAGTACCTTAGACACAGGAAGTTTCTTCTAAGATTATTTGGCCACTTTAGAACCATATAATACCTGTAAACCTCTACATGCAAAGACATTTCAGAGTTGTGGTGCTTTTGGGTTCGTTACAGAAGTGGCCGAAGCATAATCTTCTGATACAGGATGGTCAAAGGGGGTTTTGTCTGTTTTGCTTTAAAAAAAAAGTTCTCTCTCGAAGCATGGAATAACCATGACTTGAGTTTGCTCTTGGCTGTGCTTCTTTTGGGGGGGGAGCCACCAAAAATTCACAGTGGTGAGTGAACGAGCATGGAGGACATATTCTACCTACCTACAGAGCATGTTGGCTCAAGGCTGTGTCTTGAAATGTATCGTAGGGGATGGTTGAGGTAAATACTTCGTTGCCAGTGCCTCCAAAGGCAATGGGTTGTCTCTTGGTGAGGTTCAAGCAAGAGCAAGCTGGGCCAAGCAGTCAAAAAGGGGAAGAGGATGGATTTACTGCTGCTGATAGAGCAGTGCGCTCCTCAACAAAAGCTGCACCTCCTATCCAACAGAGGAAATGTGGGGTTGTTATTTAAAGAGCCTGTACGCATGTATATGGGTAAGCGCTTGAGGGTTGCCATGTCTGAGCAGAATACTTTTGAGTGTGTTCAGCTGGAGGTGATGAGTTTTAAAGGAAAGGTAGTGGGGCCCGTCAGGGGTGCGCTTAGCTCGAGGGTCATCAGCTTCCATTCCAAAGACTGAAACAGGCAGGCGTGAGCACCTTTGGGCATGCTCCATTTTCTCTGCAAGTTTAGCAGATGAAAGGAAGGGATACTTTGAAACTGTATTAGTGTATCTGCCCCCAAGGTGTCTGCCTGTCGTCAGAGCTCACACTAATGCATTTCAGGGACCAGAAGTGAATGAACAGCAGCCCTGGAGACCAGCAGGAGGGCAAAAACTACACTAATGCTCTTCTCTGCAATTGCCATTAGTACCTTTTGGAAGCCGAGTGACTTACAAATCGTTACACCCATAAAATACCACTCATTTTAAAACCGACTCTTTTTCAAAATTTATTCAGAGAAGAACGATGCAGACCCGCTGCTTCCTTGGTTCCACAAGGTTGTCTGAATTCCTCTCCTTCTGAAGTTAGCATTCTTCTTGTAACGCGGCACACACACTTATGTTAGCCTGCGACACGGACTTACCTGAGAAAATGCAGATTTTTTGTGTCACTCAGCACAGACAGGGGCATTACCCCTTTGCAACAACCACAATGGGGTGAAGACGTTCCAAGTTGCTTAGAACTACACTTCAGTGTGTTTATGTCATGACCGATGAGCTTTGGATTGAGTTGACGTCAACACTTCCATTATTTTATCTCAGTGTTTCCTAATATTTCCTAGCACTGATTTTGAAAGAAGAAAATTCTCCACCATATAATAATGGCCTTCTGTAAAATCCTTGCTAATTTTTTCTCCTGAGGATATCTTATACTGCATTATGCTTAGTAACAGAAGGCACTTAAGATACCGGGAACGGCTGGAATTCTAACTTAACGTATGCATTCACAGTTCCGTAGCATACTATGAACATTTTATATGGCTTAGAGATTCGAAAATCAGAAAGAATAGATGTGTTGCAAAAGCAAAGAAAATCTGAGGGTTAATAACGTGTTAGCTAGCTGGCAAAAATCTGTAAATCACAGCCTTGTTTTCAAATACGAAGTAATAATAGCTCTGGAAAATTAGAGACAAATGTCACTTGTTTAAACGTATGTGGTTTTTAAAAGGTGCTTCAAAATGTGGGAATGAGGCTAGATTCCATCTCTCTCTCTGTCTCTCTGTCTCTCTGTCTCTCTGTCACACACACACACACACGCCTAACTATTTGCACAATTTTAATGATTTGTTAATAAAGACAGAAAGGACAGACTATGTTGATAGCTATGAAATGGTCCTGGAAGTTTGATGGTATGTCTGTGTAGGTAGAACCCTTCCCTATAATACCTGAAGCTCTTCCGCTCCAAGCATTTCTATTCTGAACTATAATTACTGCTTTGTTTTAACTTTTATTTCATTTTCTTGTGGCGATAGAGATCATGCATTCTAGGAAGCAATACCTCCAAACCCTGTAGTTATTTTTACATATTTTGTATCTTTCTGTTGAGTCCCGTGGTCTTTCACACTGCACCAATGTCTCATCAATCACTTTAGCTGCCTGCCGTATCATCAGGCACAGTGCCCTACTATTTAATAGGCAATTAGTAATTTTTTAATGAATAAAGAAATTAAGCACTGAGGAAGAAAATGAACGGACTGATGAGTAAATGAAAGATGAGCTGTTTTGAAGCTGTGGGCCTTCCTTGTTAGCCCCTGGATGTGCCAAGTGATGCCCCAAGCATTAGGAATGACATTTGCTATTACTGTAGCCCAGACCAGATTGTAGCACTAGTTCTAACTGGTCTTCATAATAAGAATCTGGAGTCAGATATTTGAGGGTGAGAGCTGAAAGACCAGAGAAGCAGAGCAGCCAGCCGCTAGACTTCTTACCTCTGCGAAATCCTCAAGCTGCAAAGAGACTGAGCTCCTGTCCCCTCTCCGCTTATCACTTCCTCTCTTTGCCCAGCCATCTCACTTCCTGTCTGTCTGTACAGACCTCTAGACCTCTATGGTTAGCTAGTGGCTTGCTCCACCCTCTGATCTTCAGGCAAGCTTTATTTGTCCACGTAAGATATCACCACACCAGATTCTATCCTAATTTCTTACAGGAATTTGTTCAGGTAATCCTCACACAACTCAAAGATGGGGTTCTCCAATCCCCATTTTTTGCAGATAAGGATACTTAGAGTGTGTTAGGTGGGAAAGATCATCAGATTCAGCCACGATGAAGCTAAAAGCTTGAGACCTTGCTTGTAGTGGCTCTCAGATTTGAGCTCAGAGTCACTCTACCTCATTACCTAAATCTAAGAGTACAAAACCACCACGGAGTGAAAAAATGATCATGGTCACTTGAAACACAGTTTAAAAATGATCTCTGTGTGTAACTGTCCTCCTTATAGGTTTGATTAGTTACTGCCTATAGTCTTTAGGATGACCCGTGAGACCGTTTCAGTCTACTTTTTGGCTTGTGAAATCTCACATTCGCCAGATCATCAAAGAGATACAGGGTAATCCGTAAATTTGGTGTGAACCATAAATAAGACTATGTAAAAGAAGAGCCAGAGCACTTGGGTATGGCCATGTGTAAGGCAGAGAAGTGGGGGATAAACAAAATATGGGTGCATATTGTGCGCATGTTTTACATCATGGGAGTCCAACATCTTATGTGAATGTGGGTTTTACTGCATAACGGCTATGTGTGGCTTTATGGTAAGATACATGGGATCCAAATCCTGAGTTAACTCATTTGTTAATTAAGGGTAATCATAGTTCCCACCTCACAGGGTAGGAGTGTAGTGCACCTGTTCCTTGACCTGGAACAAATGGGGTATTCAGTAAGCTTTGCCATGTTTACCATATATATATATATATATATATATATATATATGCCGACTTTTAGTTCAATGCGTCTGAAAGAACACTATGTCATGCTGGGGATAAATGACTTTATCTGATGGCTGTTTATCTACTGTTTGCCTGGGGCCTTCTCTGGAAAACAATCCACTTCGGTGAAAGGTGGGGGAAAGCAGGCTCGATGTAATCTCCTAAATCCAGCTCCTCCTCCTCATAAGCTTGCCTCATGCCTATCTTAATGCAAAGACCAGGATTTGTGGATGTTAATTCCACATCAGATAACCTGTCCACAGCAATAATAGCTCAGGCCTCTGAGACCTTCAAAGTGTGAAGATGGAGCAAACACACGGCTCCGTGTGGCGTGGCCAATTCAGTAGTGGCACCCACTTTTCAAATACGTGTGTTGATGGCCTACCATGTTCAAAGCCACAGGCCACGTGTTGGGGAGAGCAGAGTAAGCAGATGGATAATGTCCCCTCAAGAGGCTCAGACAAGTGAGAGTAGGGGACCAGAAGGATAAATGAGTCCAGTGTAGAGCAGTCAAGGGTGACGTTCTGGAATGGAGAAGGGGCTCTTAAAAGCAGTCTCGGGGGCCCTGAAGGGGTTGTCCCCCTAGAGAAGATGAAATCACTATTTGAACTTTAAGCAATCAATATGCAGCTCAAAACATTCTCTCATTCTCTGAGGAAGAATTTTCCAAAGCTCACTCAACAATAATCATGAGCATAGAGGACAATGACCCAAATGATAGCATCATAACCAGAGGCCAGACTCAGAGTCAGTGCTCCCAGAGCTGGGTGCATAATTGGGTTGGTCTTGGGTAAGAGGCAATGATGAAAGATGAAGAGAGAGTCATGTAGAAGAGCTCATGGGATGGTTTGGGAGAAGGAAGCAACCAGACACACTAGAGGACATGCTGGTCCTTTCCTAGGGCTGCATTAAAAGGGTAAGAAAAAAAATGAGATTGTGAAGAAAGTCTCGAAAAGTTGACAAGTATTGCGACAGGCCTGAAAAGGTGTTTCAACTTCATGTTTGGAGTCACTGAATAGTTTTAAGAAAGGAATTAAATGAACAGATCTAGATCCTTTAAATGACACGGGTAAAGAAAAATACTGCAAAAAAAAAAAAAGAGTTAAAGCAGGTAAGGTGAAAACTGGGAAATAATGGGGAGTTGTGAGGTACTGGCCAAATCTGCAGAGAATGGGAAGGGATAGGGAGCAGGACTCTGGCTGACTCTTGGTGTTAGTGTGGATGACATTGACCAGAAGCAGAACATTGACAGAGGACTTTAGCACTTGGGAAGATGGGGGGGTTCATTTTTCAGACATGTTAATTCGAGGCAATGTCCTGTAGGCAGTTGGGCACAGAGTTTAGGAAAGAAACACTCTGGAAGTTAATCAGGACAGGATGAA